TAATTACTTAAGTGATATTAAGTGAATTTCACCCGGAGCGAGGCACACAGAAGCTAGTCTATTATATTAAAATAATTCCCCGATCGGTGGTTGGTCGGAAAAATTTTTAAATCCCCCGCAGGGTTTTTCGTTTCGTTTCCGACCGTTTCCCGTAGACTTTTGTCTCCTCTTTCCATTTCAGCGGTCCGTTTGATTTTCCGACACACCATTTTCCCGATGCGACCGGATGAAAATCCAAGATGTCCGACCATTAAGCACCAGCCCAATCGGAGCGTTCTGTACCTGTGCCTCTCGCGCCGCCGTGACGTTTCGCCCGCACGTGACGTCTCCGATCGGTCTTCCGTCTACCTTATGTCCCCGTCGAACGATTTAAATCATAGACATAATATAATGGACTGCGCTTAAAGAGAGAAACGTGATGTCAAGATGGAGTAAGTGAAATGGCAATACATTTGTGGGCTATCATGGAAGAAAAAACATTTCATGTTTCTCTCCATGAAAAAAAGGTTTGATAAGATCATGTCTATGATGATAAGATTAATAATATTATGATCTATAGACATAATTTAATGTCCATGTTATGCTTATGATCTTATGATTCTGTTTATCAATTTTGTTTTTAAAATTTATAAAGCACTAAAGCAGTCGAAACTCGAAATTGCGTCTTAAGTCTTAACTTTTCAAGTTACTCTGCATTTTATCCTTGTCCGCGTTGGGCTGTAATTTTGTTATAATTATTTAAAATTCGTACCTTCATTATGGTTAATAAATGTTGTATTGTTGGTTGTAAATCAATAGCTGACAGGAATTGCACTGCTAAATTTTTAAGGTAAATAATAATATATTTAATTTTGTTTTTAAAATTATTGGAAGATAAAAACCTTATGTGTGATTGTTATATTTTGATTAGCTTCCCAAAAAATGAACATATTTTACAATTATGGAAAAATGTTATAAAGCAACATCAACCACAATTTACCATAAGTCCTTATTCAGTAATTTGCCATCTTCATTTTGTTGATAATGATTTTATTTTGAATGTTGCTGGTACCAAACGTGTGCTGAAAACCACATCAGTTCCAAGTATTTTTCCATCATATAGTAAGTTACTTAGATTTGAATGATGTATAATTTCAAATGTAGATTAATACTTAATAGATTTGTTTTATATCCTCTTTGTCTAGTTTGCATTTGAATTGCTTTTAATATATTAATATACTAGCTGACCCGACAAACGTTGTTTTGTCTTATAAATTATTTCTAGAGAATATTTTGCTAGAAAAAAATAACTAATTAAATATAGGCATGTAAGAATATGGGTAAGGATAAGGATGTAAGGAAGATATATGGCGTGCTATGAATGGTAACGAAATATAAAAATGAAAAAACATCAAACATTTATTTTTTTAATAATTTATTAAAATTGATCCATTAAAATAATATATATCGCTAATTATGACAATATAAGTAAAAAACAATATCTATCCCTTAATGCAACAGAGTGTACAATATTTTTTGTAATCCCATCTTTCGCAAACACAAACTGGATGGCTCGAGAGCACACCACGTATAATTATCCGTGTGAAAAATATGATGTGCTCAAATCTAAGCTACAGACATTGTTTGGCTTTGAAACTTATTGATAGTCATTGCAAATGCCAATCTAATTGGAAATTTAAAGCGTTTAAATTGTATTGGCACATCTGTGGGTATAATAGAGATTCGCGGTAATAATATATTTTCACCTCGGAATTTGCCATTTAAAATTATGGCTTCGATAACATTTTTCATTAATTTTTTAACAACTTATCGCGTGTCGTTGTACAACCGTGGTAGGTCAAATTATGAAGCAAAATAACCGAAGAACAAACCTTTAATTGTAAATTATGCGGTGGCATGCCTGGTAAGTCCAATGAGTTTAAAAACTCTGTTAGATAATTTACAGCTTCAGTAGCATAGCAAACTATATCTATAGATATACCATGTCTCTTGGTAATAAATGTTTATCTTGAGATTCAATTCGTTGACGTCCACATTTTTTACTACTAAAATTGCCCTTTCTGCCAGCCACTCATGATTTATGTATTGTCTGTGTACATTGGAAAATATCTAGTCAATGAGAGCATCTTGCGAATAAATGATTGTGCAGAAATCGGTCGGTAATTTTATACATTCCGTTTTATCTGTAGTAACTTTCCCATCTCCAATATCTAACAATTGTTTTGAGAATCTTCTGCACGCAGCTTTTTTTGATTAAATCGCAAGTATCAAAATCGTTCGCTCTCTGT